ATTAATTTTAGGCCTTTTTCTCTTTTCCACCCTGTTCATATCTATTTTCCTGCCTAACAAGTCCAAATGCCAGAGAACTGATAAACTGTGCCAAACTCACACAATAGTCAAAATGAATGAACTGCAACTACAAGTCACATGAATGAATCTTAGAAACACACTGCTGAGTGGAGGGCAGTCCCAGAAGACTACAGACAACACGATACTTTATAAAAAGTCAAAACTGAACAAAAGTGGACAACATATTGCCTAGGGATGCATACTTAGGTGACAAAACTATGCACGTTTTAAAAGAGAAGGAAGCACACAAGATTCAAGGAAGTAGTTATCTGGGTCTTAGGAGGGGTGATGGGGAAGGTCAGGGCAGTGGAACAGGGGAGAAGCCCAACAAGTGCGTGCAACAACACGGATGAAGTTCCAACTCTGAGTGGCAGATAAGGAGTGTTCATTTGATTACCATACTTCATAATCCACAGATGTGAATTATGTTTAATGTAAAAGATAATAAGGAAGAATAAGTAACAGATAAGAGCACAGCTGTGGGTAAAACTGTTTTATTTCCAGAATATCTTGCCTGGCTTTAGTACATCTGCGTATCAGCAGGCGTTCAGAAGTGGAAAGAAGTATGGCTTTAGTGCATTTGCATATCCTCAGGGTGGAGAGAAGTTCTTCTCCACATCAATGGCTAATTACCTGGGCAACTGAAGGCTTATCGGTACCTGAGAGGTGAGGGGGAGGGCCGGTTTTGGTTTCTGCGGGAGTAGAAAAAAGAGAAGGCCGATGGCCCCGGACTGCAGTTTGTAAGCAGTAAACAGATTTTAAACTTTATTTCTCCCTTTGACTGATTTTGGTTTTAGAGGTATTTTCCCCAGGGATTTCTTTTCCCCGGACTTACAAGAGCCTTTAACTGTTTTTAAGTCTTAAGTCTTTCAGCAATATTCTGCTCAGGACTTATAAAACCACCAGGTGAACCTATCGCATGATTACTTGAAGAGCTGAAAAGGAACGGACTAGCTTAGGACACAAATGTTCTGATCTCCACCAGCTCTGTTTCCTCATTTGTTTCTTCATTTGTACCAGGGAGGAGCCGGAGTAAACCTCTCTCTGGTTCTCAAATGCACTGTCATGACACAGATGCTTCAAAATTGTCAAGTAGTGTCATACAAGTAACAACAGTTAAAGAAGTGAAGTTTGTGAAAGATGTCCTTACCTCATTAAAGAACATTCAAGGTTCTCCCTGTCACCCTGAGACAGGGACCATGGGGTATAGTCAGAGTAGGGTGAGGGCCTCCGGAAAAAGCAAGGCAGGATATTTGCAGTCAGAGCAATGTAACTACATGCAAGGAATCCCCCTACCAAAACTCCGTGTTAAACATTAAGCTCTAGAGTCATTCTTCAGTGAGATCAGTTAATATCCCTAGATAAAGAAGAGTAGCACATGTTTTATTATTATGCTAATCATTTGTGATCATGTGTAAGATTCACTTTAGCAGGCTAAAAGGCCCAGGCCTTTGTGCTGTCTTTCCTACTCAGACCTGATGAGGTGATTTGCAAACTAGGTAACTAATTTAGCATGCAGGCCCAGCCATAAACGACATAGTAAAAGGCAGGAAGGATTCCACCTTAAAGATAAGATTGCATTTTAACTCCCAAGAAGTTATGAAGTAAGATTCTTAACTTATTCTTCAGCAAACAGACAATACTTGGGGGCTGGGCAGGCGGCCTTGTTTGACATGCTCCCAGACCAAGAAGCTGGTATCTCGGGGAGAAATCAGAGCAGGAAGTTTAAGTTTATTCCAAATATTCAGGGACCACTTAACAAGTCCACACCCCTAAGCCTTTTTTTCACGTTCCAAAAAATCCTCAACTGCCTATAAAACCCCTAAACACACCACCACAGGCTCTCTTGTCCCCTCCTGGCGAGAGCCAGGAGCTCTATCCTCTCACTATATCTCTGAATAAAAGCCTCTCCCTGGCTCTCCAACCTTGACTGTTTGCTAAGTTCATTCTTCGATTCCTCAAACAAGAACCCCGGCATCAACCCCACCACTCTTGACACCTGGGTCTAAACATGTTTTCTGAGCATGAAGAAGAGGGGGGGGCCCTTGCTGGGTTAATGTAATGTGGATACAAGTGCCCCTCCTGGGGAATACCATGTGAGGTCAGAAGAAAAGGGTATAAACATCACTGAAGAGGAGGAACAGCCTCTTAAATTGCTTTTTGGTCTAAATTTCTGATTCTTAGGCCCAAATTTTGTTACATATGGAGAAGTACTCTGAATGCATATTAAATGCACACTGAGGTGCATCTGAGACATTTCCAGAGTTCAACCTGCACTGACAAATGAATACCTACACTCGTCTATTCAGGTCAGAACACCATTAACAATAAAGGATGCTTTATAAAGAAAGGCAGTTTGGCCAATGCACAAAGTGATGAGCTAGCTGATTTCCTAAGTGCACGACCTAGACTTGGAATGGGGGTGGGGAGATAAGAGACAGCTAGTGGCAAGGACACACTGCTGTAATCACAGGGAAGGCAGGAAAAGGAGAACTGGAGCAGGCTGTGGCATGGCACCTACTATGCGTCAGACTGTGGCAGAGGCTTGACACCCACCGTGTCACTTAAGCTCCCATAACAGCCCTGTCAGGGAGGACTATTACAACTGTCTTTTTACCAACTGGGACACCGTAGGCTCAGAGAGCTGAAATAACTTGGAAGGCACCATAGTTTAGTTTCAGGACACAAACACAAATAATAGAAAACCTTTGCTTTTGTGAACAGAAACAAATCCCATAGCTAGTTGCAAGCTTTCATAAAATACACTCAGAGATGAGAACTGGAATTCACAAATCCTGCAAGGCCTAGTCTTTCACAGGCCTCTGGAAGTTACTCACAGCAGGGGCTAAAAGCTATGGGATCAGGGTGAGGTAGGGGGTGGGGGTTGGAAATACTGGAGAAAGTCAGTCAAGACTCCGGGAACAAAGAGGAAAAGGCCAGAGGCTCTTCCATTAACCATCACTTGCCAGATGCCAGTGTGTGGTCGAGCTCCACCCACCCTCAGTGGCCTGAGGCAGGGCAGACAACTGCAGAACCCCAGTAGCCAGGAGAACGCAGCTCTGTCCACATGAAAGTCTTCATCTGTTTCCAAACCTCCCAAAGTTCCACTAAAAGAGATAATCCTATTTCCCCTACCTCACTGGACAGTAAAATCCAACTGAGCTAATGATTCATTGGAAAGGCCAAGTCTAGAAATCAGAAGTACAGACCCGCGGGAAAGGGGCACAGGCAGCCTGGCAATCCCCCCAAATTACACTGTATTTGCTGAATAAACATAAGGCTGGATGAGCATCTGTGTATACTTATTTATAAAAACCAGCTGCCTACCCCAACTGGTTCCTTTGACTTTCAAATGTGACGACATGCGAAACAAGCTACACCAATGAATGGTATCGCTATTTCACAACCTAACAAAAATATCACTCCCAGCGAGGACATTGTAATGAATCTCATGCCCAGCAAGGTTAAGTTAGCAAACAAGGCTAACAACTTCACATCACCAAGTGATTGCCTATCCAGTGTCGCATTTGGTCCACAGACGGCCATGAAAAGTTCAAACCTCTGGATGAGTGACATGGAGCAAATCATTTTATCATTTGTTCTGAGCCTGTTGCCTCATCTGCAAAATAAGAATGTGCTCTATCTCCTGTCTGCCCCTCCAATTCCACCCCATGTGCCCCTCCCTATCCTGCACCCGTGTGTGGACCACATCAATGGGTGTCTCTGGCCCACCTGGAGAGAGGAAAAGGAGGAGGTCAGGGCACCCCAATCCCTGATGGGAACTAGGGCTACACCCCCTTGACCAAAGGGACTCCTCTCAGGTGCCCCCTCCACACAACTAATCAGAAAATGGGTCACTCCCTCACCTTTTCCGGCCTAAAGGCCTCCTGCTACTAGCCCCGGGGTACCTAACTTTCACTCCTTATTTTCCTGCCCACAACTTTATAAACACAATAGTCTCTATTAAACTTTTCTCAAACAGCCCTAATTTGATTGCTCCACCTATTTCCTGCTGGGACACTGGATCTCAGCAGTTTCAGATTAGAAATCAATTTACTACTAGGTGCCACACACAGGGTTATAATTACTGTTATGACAATTACGTGATGCCGAAACTGTTCCTCTCAATTCACAGATGAGGAAACCGAGGCTCAGAGATGTTAAGAAATTCGCTCAAGCACACACAGGCATGGAACAGCTATAACTGGGCCTTAGCCTCCAGACACTGAAATCTCTGCATTCCCGTTTCTATAACTGTCACGGTCATTATTTTCTCTACCACACCGTATATCCTACAGTGCAAAAAAAAAAAAAAAATTCCTACTGATGGACAGAGTTTAACGGTGAGGTGTGGTTAAGAGTGGGAGTTCTGGAGTCGGCTCAAAGTTTAAAAAGCCTGACCCGCGACTTGCATTAAGTGTTGGGCAAGAGAATTCCGTCCACGAGAAGCCTCGGTTTAGTTTATTCCCGTAAGACGGAGAACACACTATTTCCTTCACTGGGCCGTTGTATCTTTTTCTCTCGCTCTAATATAGCAAACTCACAATCCCAATGAGATGACGCTTGCAAAGCACCCGGCAAGCAGAAGGCGCGCAAAAGACTGATGGATTAACGGCGGCTTGGCGGCCTTGGCCTCGGGAGGAGGGTCGGGCCTGGGAACCGGAGGAACGGGGCCCAATGCCCACCCCGCAGCGCACCTGCTCCTCCAGCCGCTCGATCTCCAGCTGGTTCTTCTCCTCCTCTTCGTCGTACTCCCACTCGTACTCCCCCGGGGAGCTCTCCGCCGAGGAAGCCATGGCGTACTCCTCATCTCCATCGCTCTCACTCACGCCTTCCTCCTGCTGGTCCCACCCCGGCCCCATGGTCTTGTACGTCGCAGCGGCTACCGTCCGCGTCAGCACCTGCCCCCTCGTCCTGGCCGCCTTAACCTCATCCTCCTCTCCCTCAGCGTTGGGGCCAGTCTTCGGCTCAGCCTCTGGTTCTGAAGGCGACGCTGCGGCCGCTGTCGCCATCTTGCGCTTCCAGTGACTCTCGGGTCTTCACTCGGTCGCCAAAGACCCGCTGAAGGAGAGGCTGCCCGCAGCAGGCGCCTGATCAAAACCCAGCTCGCGTGCCACCTTAGGGGAAATTGTGAGCCTCGGGTGACGGGAAAATCTTCAAAAACACGAAACTAGTATTATTTTTATGTAGTTGTGGAAGTTCTCGCAGAGAAAAAATACCTCACTAATATGACATGTGTTCCGCCACAACTTCGGACAGAAATTGGGTCTTTGGACAGGAAGTGGAGTCCAAAGAGGAAGTCATGGAGCGAGCGTGATTGTTGTGATGGATTCGGAGTCATCTTGAGAAGGTCAAACTGATTCTTGGAATAAACGATTCACTTACTGCCGAGTCTGACTTGGCGTGTGGTTTTGCCTCCCCAGCAACTAAACCTCAAAAGCAGAGAAAACTCCAAGTGCTCTGGGAAGGATCGATTGCACCATTCGTGAAAAAAAAACCCATTTCCCAGATTCCTCCCCTTTATGTAATGTCTTGTACCGAGTAAGCGTTCAATACATGTATGATTTTTCTGCTTTTAAATGAGTTTCTGCAAACCAACGTAATGAATATTACTAGGCATTTATTTTGAAACTTTTTATTGCCAGACATTGCCATGTAAATTGTGACCGTTCACTGTTTTATATAGTAATACAGACATAAATACATTTTTAAAAGTCAGGGCATGGTGCTTAACTCCTTCAACTAAGCTTCTCATTTTTGAGGTAGGAAGGTATTGATTGATAACGTGTATTTATTGCTTTCCTCCCTCATTAGCAAGTTTAACGTATACTTAAGTATTAAGTCACTAAGTATTAGGTATTAATACATAACTATTTAATATTGAAAAAAAATCCCAGGAAAACAAACTATGTCTCTTTCCTTTTCATTGGACCCTTAAAGCCTTGAAAAAAAACGAAAGAATTTTCTTTGATTTAGTACAAAAGATAAAATCGAAGCTTAGAGAGATGACGTCATTTGACCAGGATCACAGGGTCAGAAAAGAACAAAACCAGGATTCTAACTCAGATTATCCAAGTTTACATGCCAATTGAGTCTGTCTGGGCAACCTTGGATAAACGACTAAACTTGCGGAACCTGAACACCTAAATTGCAAAATAGAGTTAAGAAAGGTGGACTGGATGATCCTCTCCGCCGCATTCCAGGGAGCTTTAAGAACGTAAACTTGGGTCCCGCACTCCAGCCTGAAATCTTCAAATCCAGTAGCCAGCACAGAGGACAAGCGTCCGAGCGACTTTAACACCTTTATGCTCCCCGGCCTGCCTTTCAGACGGGCGAGGTCAAGGCGGGGCCACAGCACAGACACGTGCTCGGGGCGGGCGAGCGCAGGCGCAAAGTCGCGGTGACGCAACAGGAGCACCCCTCCGCTCGGCTTCGCTCTCTGTCTGCGCAGGCGCCTGCCCGCGAGATGGCGGCGGTTAGAGCTGGCCGTCTGAGGCGGGCGGCCTCTGCCCTACTCCTCAGGACCCCGCGCCTGCCGGTCCGCGAGCTTTCCGCTCCGGCCCGACTCTACCACAAGAAGGTAGGGGGGGCAAGGAGGTGCTCGGGACCGTACCGGCTGGGCTGGAGAGAGTACAAGACCGTCGAGGGGACCGAGGCGTGTCGTTCCGGAGAAGGTCCAGCCTAGGGAGGAGTGGTCGCGGGGTTCTGCGCCTCCTGGGGAGAGCCCAGTGCCACCAGGAGTAGGGGTGGCCCCCAGCCCTCTGTGTAGGGACCGCCCGCTCGCGCGACTCTCAGCTAACTTTCCCTTACTACGCAGTGACACGAATTGCGCCAGAAATAGATTTACAGCTGTCATCCATCGGCCACTTCCCGTGGGCCCCGCCGCTGGCTGCGATTTCATACATCCCTGACTTTTAAATTTCCTAACAACCCAGGAAGAAGGGTCCTGTTATGACCTCCCAGCCTGATCAGAGACAGACACACACAGAGAGACGGGGGCTCCGGCTTCAACCAGGTCACTGCTTTGCCCAAGTGACCTTGGGCAAGTCACTGCCATGTTGTGGACCTGTTTCCCCATTTGTAAGATGGTGTGTTAGCAGTCCTCTGTAAGAGATGATGCTTGTGGAGTCCTCGGCATGATGCCGAGCACATGGAGAGCTTACGGCACAGCTACCGTTGTTGGATTGGAACCAGTCATGTCTTTATTTTTGTTTGGGTTTTTGGCGGGGGCAGGATGCGGTATGGATTGATGTGTAGTTTGCAGCCCTTGCCTTCCGGGGACGTAAAGTCCCCTATTCTTGAGACTCTCACTCGGGAAATGACTAATTAAAGAATGCGGTAAATTAACATGGGGCAAAAATCCAGATTGGATATTATCTTGTAGATGCTTGGGGGGCTTGCAGTCAAAATCCTTGGTGGGATAGGTGGGGAAAGAGGACTGGATGATTGGGATACTTAAGGCTAACTGGTAAACAAACCTCAAGGTTATTAAAGCCTTGTGTGTGCCAATATGCATAGATATCTATTCTGTTCTCGCTTCAGCTTTTTTGCCAGGGACTGCACTCCCCCTCCGGGGGTATGTTTGTTGATATTACACGCTCGATGAACGTGGACTAGCAGCCACTCAGCCACTAGGGTGCGCTGGTGCACCACGTTTTTTCAGAGCCCAAAAATACAATAACATCATACACAAATGGACACATTGCATAGCATTGTTTCTCCTGTAACAGTCTTCTAGAGGTTTCTGGGAAACAGTACAATTTCTGGACCATACTTACTTTTAGAATTTTTGAACAGTAATCATTGTCCTTTGAGAATGGATTTTATTTGGAAGTAACAGAAATGCTGCTTGAGCCCAAATCTGGTGACTTAGGTGGGTAAAGGTCAAGTAATTATTTGTGGTTAAAAACCCTATGGAATTGAGACATGAGTTTGCTGATTTTTCTCCAGTGTCTCAAATCTCTGAAGGTAATTCGAGATCAGATGAGAAAAAGATTGTGGGTCACAAATGGTTATTGGCATGACTGTAAGCCTTTCCATCCAGGCGAGATTTGGTATTTAGGGATTGGCTGCCTTACTCAGTTTGAAGACATGAAGAAACTTATCACATCAGAGAGACCAACGCCAAACAGTGGTCATAATTTTTGTTAATCCTCTCATTTCAGGTTGTTGATCATTATGAAAACCCTAGAAATGTGGGGTCCCTTGATAAGACATCTAAAAATGTTGGAACTGGATTGGTGGGAGCTCCAGCATGTGGTGACGTAATGAAATTACAGGTATGAATTGTATTCATGTTTGGGGTACTGATGGGGTACCTTAACTAATACAGTGTTTCGTAGTTTACAAATCATTTGTGCATACAGCATTTCATTTGATCTCCATCCTGACTGCCGTGAGATGGGATGAGTCACTGCTACACATTATCAGAGCAGGGACTAAATCCTTGTTCTCCCAGTACAGTCTGCTGACCCTTTCTGAAGCAGCAGTTGATCTCACTTTTCTATTTACTGTATCAGCGTAAATTCCAACTTCGGCAAGGTAAAAGGTTTTCAAATTTTACTGATCAAAGGAAAACCATAACCATTCAGTTAGCAATCCCAGTGAGACAGGAAATGCAATAAATCAAACCGTCCCCAAACTGGAGACAACATCAAAGTAGAGACTGGCACTCTGGGTAAACCGTAGCTTTAGCCACATCTGCTTCACAGTGGTGGGTAGGAACCTTACCAGAGATCTCGTGCCTATCTCGAAAAACAAAAACAGGCAAGAGGGAGCCACTCGAGGTAGTTTGGTGCAAAGAAAAACACATTAACCAGAGACCTTAATTGCAGATTCCCTATTTAAAGCTGCATATTGACCCAGCAGCCAGGAGCTGACTTTCATAGCCAAAGCTGTCTAGGGTTGCAAAAACAAAACAAAAACTGGGGAGGGGGCACATTTTCAGCTGAATTTTACCAGCTAAGCCTATATAATTCCATATAGTTGCTTCTACGTTTACCTTTTCATCATTAAAACAAAGAAAGCTCAGTAATTCCTGCCAAAACTTGAAGTGTAGAAAGCGAGACCAAAGCTCTTGGAGAGAACACCAGTGAACCTCCATGAGCGGTGCCTAGAATCACTGCTTACCTCCTCTTTTCTAGATTCAAGTGGATGACAAGGGGAAGATTGTGGATGCCAGGTTTAAAACATTTGGCTGTGGTTCTGCAATTGCCTCCAGCTCATTAGCCACGGAATGGGTAAAAGGGAAGACGGTAAGGCTGCCTGCAAATTGGACGGAATTAAATTACTTTCCCCACAATCCTGGCTCTTGGTTAAGGGAAGGGTCTGGTTAGTGAAAAAAAGTAACTGTGATTTTTTTCAAAATATTCTACGTGTTTTCTTTTTAATTTTGCTTACCCAGATTTTCATTAAATTCTTCTCCACATTGGGAATTATGAATAATTTTATTAAGTGTTTTTTCATGTTTGGGTTTTTTGTTGAGCATTTTTATTTGTTTGGGGGTTTTGGTGATATTTTGTTGGTATTTTGTTTTGTTTTAAATATAAGAAAGAACCTTGCCTCTCCATCTAACAAAATAGAATGGAAAAGAAATCTTTTGGCTTTCTCCAAGGTTGCTGATACAATTTCTTAGGAATCTAAGTCAGATGACGGGGTCTTGTATAGTGGTCTGTTTTCTTGTTTAGTTCCTCCGATCTTGTTTCAAGGAGGATTGCAGGTGGCATACAAGGATTCATGAAATAAAAACTAGCCTGTGCTAAAAGAGGAATCAGAGATCAAACACATTGAGAGTGGGGGCAAAGTGAACAAATAAATCAGAACAGTGAGCCAGGAGGCTGGTCAGCAGGTCCCCTGAGATTGGAGGTAAGAAAAGCTGGAGCATCTTTTCCATCCTTTTCTCTGCCAAAACCTTTTTCCCCAGCAGCTGCAGAGGTAAGAAGTCCCAAGCCCAGAGACGAGCTGGACTTTCTGAAATCCAGACGCCATCAAAACCTTAGAAAAGCCAAACTGCAGGCTGCTCGTCTTTGCAGCCCCAGGGACAAGTACAGGGTGTGAGTCACGTAGGCGCGTGCTTGGGCCGCTGGGCAGTTCTGCAGCGAAGTGGTATGCCAGGCCACATGCCACCTGCTTCCCGTGGCTTGGGGCGTCTGGCTGGCAAGCTCCTCTGGGTTGAGGAAGCACAGACCTAACCTGTGTGGGCGGGAGGTGGATCTGAAGTGATTAACTGTCAAGAACTGTCCTCAGGGAAAGGGGAAGTGAGCAAGCAAGGCACCTGTGTCCCCAGGGCCTGGCCCTTCGGGTGCCGTGAGTTGTGCTCGGAAAGCGTGGGAGGAGAGTCTTTCTTTAACCTTGAGATCCTCTCATCTGAGTTTCCAGGAACAGGACTTAAGCATAATTCAGTGGAGTTGGCAGGACTGGGCAACAGGAACAGGTGGGGAAAGCTGGCTGTCCTGCCTGTGACCAAACCCCAGGCATCCTTCTCAGTCTGTTTGGAGACAGATTCTCCTTTCAGCAGAGGATGAGCCCAAGAACTCTCAGCCCAAGAGCTGTCTCTGCCCCAGCCACAGCACTTCAGTGGCACTGGCATGTTTGCCACCTCCGTCCTCCCTGACACCATGCAACACTTAAGTAGAAGGGATTTATTCTCAGCATTTGGTATAAGGACATCAGAGAGGCTGATACTCACAAAACCAACATAGGAAATCACTGCTTAGAGACTTGTGTTGCTGGCCTAAAGCAGATCCCTAAGAAACTTCTCACAGGTTCTGCTCCTGGCTTATAGCAGCGTCTTTGCTGGCCTTGCTCACCAAACCAAGCAATGCAGAGGTTATACTTGTCCTTGAGAATCCCAGCTGCAGCCTTGACATGCAGGCAGAGTCCTTTGTTTAGGGTTATTAAAGGAAATGGCCCCCCGCCGTGCTGTCCTGGGGCCTCCTTGGCCTGCCTGCCTTATTGTGGGGCCCTGAAGTAGAGCAGCACTAAAGGCGCTTGTCTTTCCCATATCAGGTGGAGGAAGCCTTGACCATCAGAAACACGGATATCGCCAAGGAGCTCTGCCTGCCCCCTGTGAAACTGCACTGCTCCAGTAAGTCTCTGCTCTCCAGAGCGCCAGCAAGCCTAGACATGCGGGAGTCGTTCTGTAATGGCACCAGCTGGCTTTTGTGACAGTACTGCCGAGTCCTTTCTGGTCATGGAGTCCGCCTTTATAGCCCACCGAGGGTCAGAGCCCATGGTCCCAGCCATCTCCAGGAGAGTCTTACAGGCATTGGTATGTGCTGGGCAGCGTGCTGAGCACGTCATGGCACCATTTCTAAACCTCAGAAACATCCCCTAGTCCACAGAGGGTGTCATTACTTCTCCCCTTACAGGTGAGGATGCTGGGGCTCAGATTAGACCACCTCAGTCACACAACTCCTATGTGGGAGATCCAGGATCTAAGCACCATCTTTGACTCCATGCTGTTCCTACCCTAAGTCAGGACCAGTAAAGGAGAAAATTCAGCTTTCACCATAATCCGGTTTGTGGTGTGTTTCATCACTTCCTTTCCAGATGCTGTTACTATCGGGGCCTGCATCTGTGCATATGGAATGACTAAGCCCACTTGTGTAAAATTCCCCTCGACACTGTCCTAAGAAAAAGCCCAGATGCCTTAGACTTATACTTGGCTTTCTACTTCAGTCTTCTGTCTTAAATCCAAAGCTTTTTCCATCTTTTCTCAACCTTCTAGGGGAAGGAGGGACAGAGAAACAATAGCCTAAGCATATTGATGGAGGTTTACTAACCAAATTAGTTAAAAATGAGCAGAGAGCTAGGCCTCTTGCCAGGGTAAGACTCACAGAAAAACTGAGTGCTGGGGCAGGGACACACTAACACAGTCTTCAGGAAGTCTGCTAAGACCAGAGTTCTTTCCACTTGAGCTGGGATTTCAAGTACCCATGAGTAAAGGCCATAGCTTATAAACATTTTCATATGGTTTCAGAAAAACCAGCCTTTTCATTAGGCCTTCTTGGGATACTGAAACTTTCAGCCAATACTCTCTACTGTTTCCTTACTTTCCACTGTCATTTCAGCTCTCTTGATTTTTATTTTTTCCCATAGCCTCACTTTAATATCAACTCCAGAATCAAAATTTTCAAACTTGGGATCACTAGAGAATGATGTGGCAGATGCCATCCCATCAACAAATTGACATGACCTAAGTTATTCCAGCTAGCTTAACCAGCATCCACTACATTTATTCCTGACTTGAATGTGAGCTGACAAGAACATCTGTTGTATCCCTTATGTGTCAAAAACTTTGTGTAAGTCCTCACACCACCCCAGCAAGAAAAGCATCATTGTCCCAGTTTTACAGAAGAGAAGGTGGATTCTAAGAGGCTAAGGAACTTACCTAGAGTCCCAGGTGTTTAAAACCCCATCTGTCTCCATAGCCACCATGCAGGCGTAACTAGCTCAGGAAACAGCTGGCTGGCTCTCCCAGCCGGCTTCTCAGCCCCAGCCCCCTAGCCAGGGGACTCCGTTAAGCCCCTTCCAGCACCGCTGCCCTCCAGCTCCTGAAGATACCATACCTAAGACAATTACTGTAGATGCTAGAAACTTAGGCTGTCTCTTTCCATTACTTACAGTGCTGGCTGAAGATGCAATCAAGGCCGCCCTGGCTGATTACAAACTGAAACAAGAACCCAAGAAAGGAGAGGCGGAGAAGAAATGAGTCCTCGGCGAAGCCTAAGCAGGTCATGTCAGCTGTTTGCCTGCCCACAGCGCAATCACCATAGATTTTCACAGGCCCTTCACGCTACAGTAACAGACTAGGAGACACATGTGTGCTGTTCACACTGTGACTCTAATATGAGCAAAATACACAGTTTAATTGTGCTGAATCTTATGGCTTCCTTCAGCCCATTCTGTCGCCTTCACCAGTTCATGTATATTTTGAATTGTGGTCTCAAAACTGAAATCACTCATGAAGTGTCAGGTTTTGGTAGTTCATGAAGAGCACAAATACCTAATTTTACCTGAATCTGTTTTGGGGAAGACTACCAAAAGAATGCCTTGGTCTATTTGATAGAACCAGTTACTGTACATAGGACAGATTTGCATATATATATAATAAAAGAATGTTTTTCTCTGGTAAGCTTTGTCTTGGGTCCCTCACTCACCTGGAAGTGCCCGGGGCCCCTGGGGTTCCCAGGTGCTGGACCGTGATGACACATGCTCCTTTCTGAGCAAACTGGGAGTAAAAACTAGTGCAGAGGTGTTTGCAAAGTCAAGCAAGCGCACATCATGCTTTAGGAAACCAGGGTGAAGGTGAAGGGAGATGGCCACCCCTTTTCCTTATTCTTCACGCAGGAACAGACTGCAACTCCCAGTGAGTCCAGAGGGTTCTTGTTAATTCCACTGGTCTGTGAAATCCTGAAATCTGAGAAACGCTGGCTTAGACAATACCCTGAGCTTCAGACCAAACAGAGAAAGAGCACCTGGGGCATGGTAAAGAATGGAGATGTCTAGGCCTGGGGTTCTTCTTTGGGTCTGGCCTGGTGGCTCCAGTGCCCCTGACTTTGATAGCCATGCGGGTGGTTTTGCCCAGCGGTGGATGGGCCAGCCATAGGGAACAAACTTCTGTCCATTCTCTGTCCTCACAGGTGTGACATTTAAGTAGTTCATTTGAACTATCTAAGTGTGCAGTGACCTGAAGTTTAAAAAACATTCCACGCCTGGCTCAGGCATGAATCACAGACATTCTACACTGTCCTAACTCCCATGTGTCCTCGGGGTTGACCAGCAGGGCGTACCATCCAAGGACCCACAGTCCTGCACCAGCTAAAATCAACTTAAGGAGGCCCATTTTCTAGAGAGAACATGATCTTGAAATACAAGCTTAAAGTCTCCAGTCTCCAAAATCTTCAGAAGTCGGATGTGTTTGCTTTTTTCTGATTTTTTTTTGTTCAGCCATGGACTGGCTGTCTCTTCCCTTAAATATACCTCCTTTGTTACAAAATTAAGACAGAAATTCCAAGTTCTGGGGGAGGGCACAGGACTTCAAAGGCCATTCTTCTGCAGCCTGTGGAGAGGGTGACAGAGCCGGGCCTTTATATAAGAGATCTCAAATCAGAGCCGCCAGGTAGAACCATGTCAAATTGTTCTGTGTGGCCTGTTGTATTTAATTCATAGTGTCCAAAGTGGGGCTCGTCTTTCTCTTCTTTATTACATGTGGCAACACTGCAATTACCCACTACTTTCCTTTGTAATTTTTTAAATGAGGCATTTGTGTCTTGGTTAGCATCCTCTGAGAGCTGAAACTGAAGTTCTACATACACATCAGAAGCTGCTAGTGAACAGCCACAGCAATATTACCAGAATAGCCTGAACCTCAAAACATGGTTGTATAGTTAAAAAGAATGTTTTTTAACTTAAATTTTCTCAAACAAATCTAGTTTTAACCACATGAGGGCATCATGTGCCCTTCAGTGAGCTTAAGTCTAGGGATTCTTGCAGCCTCCAGTGGGTCTTCACCATCTCTAGGCAGAATAACCTCTTCCGTGGGAGATTTGACATAGAAGGTCTAAGGGTCCCGTGCTCTGTGCCAAGCCCTTATAATGACACCTCTGAGGTGGACATTTCAAACAAACTGGCTGAAGATCAACTGGCTGTCAAGCCAACTAGCTTGGCTGGGTGACCCCAAGTCCATGCTGCTTCCTCATTTCCTTCGGGAGGACACCCCAAGGATCCCAGCACACACCAGAGGCTCACCTTTGTTTCAAGCACTGGCGTGAAGGAGGGGAACCAACACGGCATGAGCCCCAGTTCCTTCATCATGCCGACGTGCCACCAAGCCTGGTAGCCCTCACTCTGGCTGTGCATCAGAGTCACCTGGGAGCCCAATTTAATCCTGATGCCTGATTAAATCTGATATCCTGGGGTGGGGCCTGGGCACGAGTGTTTTTAAAGCTCCCCCAGAGTTTCCTGTGTGCACGCAGGGTGAGAACCACTGTACACTTTGCAGAGCCATCTGCCAAAATTATTTCAGTGGATGCCCACAGTCCTGTGAGAAGTGGCACTTCCCATTTCCAAAAGAGCTCTCCCACCCCTTTCTCTCTGCCTTAGTCCAGGCCTCCACCATCTTTCTCCCAGCCTCCCCACTGGTCTCGATGCCTCCAGCCTCACTGCTGGGATCCATTCCCCACATGACTGCCAGAAAGTCTTTCTAAACAAAACTCCGACCGTGTCACTACTCTTTAAACCTATCCCTGGCCCCCTGTTGTGCTTCAGACAAATTCCAAACTTCCCACTACACTGATGGCTTTGCTCCAGCCACACTGAACCTCACCTGTCCGCCTTCGCTCATGCAGTTCCTCCTGCCAAGGAATGCCCTCACTGGCATCTTCCCTTAATCTACACTCAGCCAGAGAGCCTCATGTCAGGCATCACCTCTTCTGGGAAGCCTCCCCTGATTCCCTCAGGCTGCCCCTCTCTGCTCCCACAATCCCCTCTGCTTCCCTAATCACATACATATGAGCAGCATTGTAATTTGCTGTTTTCTTGTCTTTCTGTATCATTACTCAGAGACTTTTTTTTAAATCACTTTTTGTCTCAATTTTAAATAGATAACTTTTTTTTTTTAATTCAAGCACCATGAAATGGAACAGAGTGACATACAAAGTTCCTTCCTAATTCTCCAGTCTCCCTCATCAGAGGCAATCTCTGATACTCATTTCTTAGGTGTCCTACCAGAAATTTTCTAGGCATATCCAAGCACACATGTTTAAATAGACCATCCCCTTTTTTCTCTTTTTTACAGATGACAGCATACACACGTACTCTGCATCTTTATTTTCCTCTTAGCCATATATCTGGAGGTCATTCCACATCAGTTCCTATAGACCTGCCTTATTCTTATTAACAACTACACAGCTTCCCATATGTGATGGTCTGTAATTCATTCTTCTATTAATAATTGTGTGGGTTTCCATGGCAGTGTCTTAATTATGGGACCCAGCATCTGGTACAGTTCTTAACTTACTAGGGCCTCCATGAATGCTCATCGAGTGGATGGATGGATGGACGGATGGATGAATTGGTGGGTGAGTCGGGGCGTGGGTAGATTAGTAGGTTTGTGGATAAGTGGATAGGTAGATGGGTGAGTGGGTGGAGGGCTGGAGGGAGCACAGAGGCTCAGAGCGGTGAAGTGACTTGCCCCAGATGACACAGCTTGGGAGTGGGAGTTTGAGCTCCGCTGAGGTCCTCTGCCTCTCTCCCACCTTCAAAGCATCAAACCACAGCTCCGACCACATCTCTAATTTAACCTTTCCTAATATTCCTGGATCTTGGGACCACATCAAAATGCAGTTTTAGAATCTCACACTGTCTTGTCAGAACAAGATGTTTCTACCACAGGGTGTTCTTTAAAAGCCAAGCAAATGAGAGGCACCTCTTTAGGACCCTTGAACTTGAGGCAGGTGTGCAGACTCTGTGTCCATCCTCATGACAGGACAGAAGACTTCTAGATCCCACTGAACCTTGGTAGAGTTAGGGGCCCCTGCAGATAAGATCCAGCCCCAGCCAGAAGATGGATGTGGAGCACACCCCTCATCAGTGGCTCTTCCTCACTGTCTGCTTGATGTCTTCACCCTCCAAGATGACATCAGCCAATGCACAAAAAGCCACCTCCCCAGAGAAGAGCCATCACCACACAGGGAGACAACAGCAGGACAGAGCAGAGTAAGCCTGAAGCACTGGAGTCAGGGTGGGTTCAAATGCCGGCTACCACTGTGCGACCTTCAGCAAGAGACTTCAACAACCACAAGCCTCGGTTTATTCATCTGCAAAGGGGAAATGACAACAGTACCTACCTGGTCGGGCTGACTTGGTAATTAAATGAGACAATGCACATAAAGCATGTAGTTGTGGTGGCTACCATGATTACATGTGACATGTCAGTCCTGATACCAGGCACAACTGCTAGGTGTTTGATATAGATCAGCTCTTTTACTCCTCACAGGAATGCTGAGGTGCTACCATTATCCCATTTTACAGAAGAAAAGAGTGAAAGGTAAAGTGGTATCTCCAAGATCACACAGCCAAAAAGTGGTGGAGGCTGGGGATTCAAGCCCAAGGGTCTGATCCGGAACCCGAGAGTCTGCCTGCCACCGCTCTAGTCTAGTCTCTCTACTGCTACTGTCATTGTTACTATTCGCACTGGTATTATTAGCATTACTAATAGTTACTGTTATTGTTGCTACTAATACTACCCCTATTACTATTTTTAAAGTACTATAACCTCAAGGCTTCCAACCTGTGGTGTGTTCGCCAGGGGACCAGCCCTCACAGTGAGGCCTCCAAAAGTATGCAAGGCTATGGTCTGGCTGCAGCAGGGCACGAGACACACATATGTGATTCTCTCACATGTAGCTTATTGGACATTTTCACTGTACAGTGCTTCGCCAGCCACAGGGCACAGCTATTCCCCAGATCCAGCCTCAAAGCCCACCGCCACCATCCCCACCCAGCTATCTTTGGAAATGTGATGTTAGACACTCCAGCCCTGGCTTCACCCAGTTCCCAGAATAACTCCAAAAGGGCCCCTGTGTGAGGACAACCCTCATTGCCTTGGAGCTGCTGGAACAAAAAGATTTCCAGAGAACTCCCATCCTGCCCCTGGGGCCTCTGGCAGATGGGCCAGAGTAAGCCCCAGTGGGGAAACTGGGCTGCACTCCACCCCCGCCCCAAACCCTCCCACCACACAGAGTCCTGGGTCACTGGCCCCTTTGAGCAGGACCACAGGACATTAGGGAACAACCTTGGATGGGGACTTGGGGACCTGGGTTCTGATCCCAGCTCTGCCATTTCTGTATGTGACCTTTAAGCAGATACTTAACCTCTCTGAGCCTTGATTTCCCTTTCTGAAAAATCAGCAGAATGCTAGCTCCTAAGTCAGAGAATTGTTGTGAAGATTAAATGAATTACTACACATAAAGTAATAAAAGCACAGAACCAGGCATGTAGTAATCACTCAATAAATGTTAACTATCATCATCGTGATAACCATCACCACTGTCATCAAAATTGTCACCGCCACCTTCATCACTATCATGGACATCATTGTCATCGCATCACCGCCATCCCCCTTGTCACCAACAATATCATCATCACCCCATCCCCAGCATCACCCCCATCCCCATCATCACCACCGTCATCACCCCCATCCCCACCACCCCCATCATCACCCCCATCCCATCACCCCCATCCCCACCATCACCACCATCATCACCCCCATCCCCACCATCACCACCATCATCACCCCCATCCCCACCATCACCCCCATCATCACCCCCATCCCCACCATCACCACCACCAGTGATGATGATGACAGTGCTGCTGTTGATGGGGATGGTGGGGATGAGGGTGATGGTGGTGATGATGGGGATGGGGGTGATGATGGGGATGGGGTGATGATGGGGATGGGGGTGATGATGGGGATGGGGTGATGATGGGGATGGGGTGATGATGGGGATGGGGGTGATGAGATGGTGGTGGTGATGCTGTGGATGAGGGTGATGCTGGTGGTGATGATGGGGATGGTGGTTATGAGATGGTAGTGGTGATGTTGGGGATGGGGGTGATGGTGATGAGATGGCTATAGACTAAGTTGTGTGGCTCCAAAATTCATATGTTGACGCCCTAGCCCTCAATGTGACTGTATTTGAAGGTAGGGTCTTTAGGAAGCAATTAAGGCTAAATGAGGTCCTAAGGGTGGGGCCGTATAAGAAGGGGTCTCTCCACACTTGCTCAGAGAAGAGGCCATGTAAGGACAAAGCAGCCATCCACAGGCCAGGAAGAGTGCTGTCTCCAGAAGTCAGCTGTACTGGAACCTTGATCTTGGACTTGCTAGCTTGCAGAGCTTTGAGAAAATTAACATTTATTATTTAAGTCCCAGAATCTGGTGTTTTGTTTTGGCGGCCCAAGAAGACTGATACATGCCCCACCACCATCAGCACCATAATTGTTACAGGTCTGATTCCCTGGAAAGCCGACTGTGAAACGGAACTGAGCACACACAGCCTTTATTCAGGACTGAGCCTGGGATCACCACCTGCGGAAGGGCAGTTAAGGAAGCAGGCCTGGGCAGAGGGAGGAAATGGACATTCAGCCCCGGTAAAAGTCTCCCCGGCCCCGTGAAGAGCCTTAAATCTGATAGGTCCCCAGAGATGTCTTCCTTGCCCCTGTCACTCGCAACCTCTAAAACGTTCAGCAATGTTAGGTTTGAGACTTCATCTTCCCACATGCTCTCCAAAGGAGATCTGCACTTTACAAGAAGAGGGCCAAGGGCCCTGCTCACCACCAGTGAATAAATCATTCATGGTGGAATTCCAGGCATCTGAGGAGCTTGCTATCTGGGGAGCTGCTCACACTGTCCCATCTGCCCTTCAGCCCCAGAATCTTGCTCATTTTCCCACAACAGCAGGGTCCCTGGGGACCATCTCCCTTCACACGGGCACTCATCTATTCCAACCCCCGAGGCTCGGGACAGCACGGCCCTGCGTCCTGGTAAGCCTTCCTGGACAGCCAGCAGTATCAGAGTCTCCTCTTGACCTTTCCCACTCGTTTCTTTAGGGAGCTGGACTGAAGGACAATCTGCTCGTGTGAGTGAGTCCTTTTCTGGCTGAGCTAATGGAGCTGAGGGACTCGGGGAGAAAGCCTGGGTCAGGGCCTGCACGGGGTGGCCACAGGCAAGTGCGGGCCTGTCTCATTTGTCCCTCACTTAGATAACCTCAAAGGGGCTATTGCAGGATGAAATGAGATCACATGGGCCAAGTGCCCGGGACAGCTGTGCATACAGTAGGTGCTTATTAAATGCTCATTCAGCCACAGGGCAGAAGGAGTCAGGAGGCAGATCAAGCCCCTGATTTATGCCAAGAAAGAGCTTCCCATCAAACCTCTCTCTGGCCTCCAAGGCCCTGCCAACCTTTCCCCTCACTCTGCCCACTCCAGTCCCATTGGCCTCCCTGCTGTCTGATTCACCAAGCTTACTCCCACCCCAGGGCCTTTGCACATGCTGACCGTCTGCTGAGAGCCCTCTTCCCCAGAGCTTCACAAGGCAGCCTCCTTCATTAGGTCCCACCGTAAATGTTGTCTCCCCAGACAGGCCTGCCCATCCACCCTGGCTTAAGTATAAAGCCACACCTACTCACTAGGCCATCACACTGTTCATATTCTTCACAGCACAATACCCTCTGGATTTATCTTCTCAGGAACAGCGTGTCTGACGATTCACCATTAAATCTCTGATGCCTAGAATAGTACTGCACACAATACAGAAGGTGCTTTTCAAGGCTCGCTCTGGCCACAGGCTCTGGTAAAAACTAGGAGACCAGACACCCTTCCTTACTCCCTGGGCAAACCTTTCTCCATTTCTGTATTTGTAGTTTCTCTGTCTGCAAAATGAAGGGATTGGACCCGATGAATCCTTACTCCTTTCCAGCTCAAACAAAAAGATTCCACAAACTTGGACAACTTCTTATTTTAGCCAACAGCCAGCTCATGCCAGAATGTGATTCATCTCTGCCGATTTTGCCTAGCAACCAGCCCTTGTCCCCACACTCCAAACCAACTCCCCCCCAAAAAAATGCCTCCCCACCACACACCACCCAGCCTCCCTCCACCTCCTCCCCTGGCATCCCGGAAAAGAATGCAAGCCTTCACGCCCCCCACTAGCCCCACCCCCCACCCAACCACCCCCTGCCACCCACCTCTGTCTGCCACCAGCATTTTAACACAACCTCAGAATGTCTCGGTCTATGTCTGGAAGAGGTGGGAGGGGGTGCTTTCCCTTTACCCCCCGGGGACTAGTACAGGAAACAGCAGCAGAAGTCCAGCCGGCAGGAAGTGCTGACCCAGCACGGGGAGATCATTTCTATTCCGACGCCTCACCCTCCTCTGATGTCCAGCTCCTGGGGCTTTGAAAAGCTTCTGCGTCCTAGGGAGGGACAAAGAAGAGACGGGGGAAGTGAACAAGAGGGAAGGAGGCTCCATGCCTGACGCAGAACCAGCTCATTCCCACTGCCTGAGGGATGCTCTCCCCCAGCAGCCCACAGTGAGAAAAAGGACTGGGTCATCCTAGCAGACACTGGAAAGCATGTGATAAATTTCAGTATCCATTCCTGATACAACTCTTGGCAATCCAAGAATAGAAAGGAATTCTCTTAACGTGAAAAAGGACATTTACCAGAAAACTATAGTAAACACCATATTGTCCGGAAAACTTTGGAAGCATTTCCATTAAGATCAGGAACAAGGCAAGGATCCAGGATGTCCACTACTACCAACACCCCCACTACCTCCCCCATCACTTCTGCCATCCTCACCTCCACCTCCATCACCTCCTCCACCATGTCCACCACCACCATCACTACCTCTACCACCAGCACCATCATCACGACCACCTCCACCAGGACCATCATCTCCAACTCCTCACCATCACCTCCACCACCACCATCACCACCTCCACAGCCATCTCTACTTCCACCGTCATGACCACCTCCATCACCATGTCTATCACCAATCAATACTAATCCCCGGGGGAGGGGACTTGGGCTGGAGACCTGTATTGGCCATTACTTTTCTGGATGGCTTTGGGTCTCACTTTCCCCATTTGTAGCTTGGGTGGTAGGACTGTATCAATTGTTTGCAAACTATGCTCCACTGAGCCCTAGGAGCCCCTGCAGGGGGGCAAACAGGTGCCTCTAGGTATCCCACCCCCTTTCAGGGAGGCAGCTCTGCTTTCATTCGGCTTAGGTTAAAAACCCTTGTAAGACTTTATCTAAACAAAAGACTCTCTAGCTCAAAAGAGGTGAAAACAGTACAAGTGGAGACTAAAGAAAGAAGCAGGTAATTCAGAGGAACTCCCTAAGGAAAAGTCCTCATCTCACCAGGAATCAGAGAACCACAACCAAAACAATGGAATACCACTTCTCACCTGTTTGACTAGAAAAAAGACTGAAAACCAAAGAGTCATCAAGGATATGGGGAAAAGGAACTCTTAGACCAAGATGGGAATGGAAAGAGATGATGCATTTTAGAAGTCATTTGGCAGCACATTTGAAAATGCTAGGCATGTACCCTTTGACCTAGCAATCCCACCAACTAGGACCTAGCACGCAGGACCATTCCCACATCTGCGGACACACACATGCAGGATGTCCTCAGAAACATAATGGCAAGAGGGCCACCCAGCCCCATCTGTGACCTCTTCGTGGGCTTCCCTAGGACTTACTCCGGCCCCTACACTGGACTCAGAGGAACCCTGAACTGTCTCCATTCTAGGGACCCCCGAAGCCCAAGTGAGTGAAAGTCTAGGCTCACACCACAAACAGGTGACCTTCACGTGCAAGTCCATCACAACAGGGCTACCCCCTGGAGCTCGGAACTCCTTCCCCTCATGTGTGATGGACCACGAACCACAAGGAGGTCGAGCTCCCAGGCTAGACTTACAACCTGAGCCTCTTCCTTTTCCACTCACAGCTGTGTGACCATGGACAAGTCACCTCACTTCAGTGGTGCCTCATTTGTCAACAACTTGCTGCGTGGGCATGGTTTCCTCATTAGCGAATTGAGGTTGATCAACTCAGCTCTGTAGCAGTTTTTCAAACAAGATCATTTATGTGACCAGCAAAGGGGGAGGACTGACTATGCTTCAGGCCCTGGACCCAAAGCAAATTCTCTGAATATCCTCTTACTTGGCAGCAGCACCATCTCTTTAATCCTTCCACACCGATGGGCACACAGATGGTTTTCTTTTGTTCACTTCTAAACAACACTGGCACGAACATCCCTGTGGGTCCACCTCAGGGCCCACATACAGGTATTTCTGGAGAAATGTTCCAGAAAAAGTTTCTGGGGCAAAGGGCAAAGACATTTACAATATTGGGAGAATCTGCCATATGACTCTCCAGAAGGCCATTTATGCCTCACTCCAGTCTGCTCAAAACCAGACAGTGTGAAGATCAGATCTGGACAAAGACAAGATGTTTTTATCTAATGAGAGGTCATGGGAAAAATTTAAAAATGCTTCTGACTCCCCAATGGCTGACCCAGTCCTTCCAGCCAGAGATCTGCTTAGGCCAGCTGTGGGGAAAGCGGCCCTCGGGCCCTGCCTGTTCAACTCAGGTTAGGTAGCCGGAAGGATTTCCTGATAATGATGGTTGTTCAGAGGCTGAAGAGACGACTGGAGGTGCTGGGAGAATTCTTCTCGGCGTCTCTCAAGATGGGGGAGCTTGATCTCTCTGGGATGGGCTGAAGCAGGGAAAAGAAGCCAGGTTCTCCCAAGACCTTCTTATCCAAGAACTGAGTGGCTCCTTTTACTCAGGGGGAAACCACATCCTGCAGCCCCTTCCCAGGTGCTGAGCATGAGGCCTCACACGGAAGGAACACAGTCAGGAGCCCAGCTGGCTGAAATCCACAGCAAACCTCCTTCCCTTTGTCAGAAAGTCGGCTGAGGCCCAAAAAGGGCAAGCCAGGGAGGGGGCAGAGGCTCCAGACCCAGGGCCGCGGCCCGTGGGGCCCCCACCTTAGGGGCCCCACCTCCACGTTCACGTCGGGAGAGCCCCAGGGCTGCGGGCTTGGCCTCCAGACCCAGCCTCGCCACTCTCAGCGTCTCCCCCCGTGCAGCATCCTGGGAGGACCGAGGATGCTGGAGTCGAACAGATTGGCTTGGTCATTCACCGGCCACGTGTTGCTGGGCTGGCCCCTTCCACACGCTGGGTAAATGGGATGAAGCCTGCCTCCTGGGTGGCGGTGCGACTCCGCAGGAAGCAGCTCTCCACGGGCGGGCGGGAGTCCCGGACCCCCGGCCCCGCCCGGGCGCACGCATGCGCCGTGTGCGACCCGGAAGGACCCGCCTTTTGTTAAAGCCCTAGCTCTCTGCAGCCTTTCTCTTCCCTCCAAGGGGGGCTCAGCACTCTGGGGCTGTTAGACACCACTGCCGCCAAGTGGGGGGCCACCAGGAACTTTGGAGACACGGCCTCGGGCCCCTCTTCCCAACCATTAGCATGCATTCATGAACTCATTCATTCAGGAATAGGATTGCAAGTAGTGGTTACTGCACTGGCTATGGGCAAAGGCCCCAGGAGGTTCAAAGCCCAGCCCAGGCACTGTCTGGCTTTGTGACCTTGGGCAAGTCACTTGGACTCTCTGAGCTTCCCTGTCTTCCTCTATAGAAGGTGGATAATGTCTGTGACTCCCTCAGCCTTATGAGGACCCAATGTATAGAAACTGCTGTGTTACTGTGCCTGCTGCACAGTGGATGCTCAGGAAGTGATGAAAACAAGATGTAAACCCTGGGACAGCTAGACGTGGGAGATCTGGGGACTGAGGGGATTTCCCTCATATCACGACCTCCCCCAGGACAGGTACAGAGAAGCGGTCCCATGCCCCCAATGTCCCCCTTCCCCTCTGCTCCTCATTCAAGGAGCAGCTTGAAGGGAACAGGTCATTCCGCTTCGACATTCCTGGAGCACCTGCTGGGTACCCTGCTTGGTGCTGGACTCTGCCCCACAGGGCTTGGGGGCACAGCCTTGGCATCTCAGGGATCAGAACTGCCCGCGGCGCCCTGTTTGAAGCTTCCTAACAGCAAAAGTGACAAAGATAACCAGAAAAGCCAACAGAAATGGAGCTGTTTCTCCAACCCGGGCCCCACTTGAGGAGCCTTTTTGCACGTGAGCCTCGCAGCAGGACAGGATCTGTGGTTTCACAGGCGAAGCGCTGAGGCACCAAGAGGCGGCGGAGGCTGCCCACGGTCACGCGGCCTGGAAGTGGGATTTGAGCCCTGGGATTTGATCCCAAGTCCTCCAGGATGAAGGCACTGTATGACCTTCCCCCGGTGTCCCTCGAGGAGTCTCCTGCCCAGACTCTGTGCTGATACTGGGTTTGTTTTACAGCTGGGGGAGGGGAGATAGTCCAGGTCACCTGGCAACTGATCCAGGCTGGGTCTCTCCCACCTTTCCAGCCCACCCCCGAAATAGCCCTGGCGCCTGCCCGGATGGGTCCAGTCCCCAGGCTCCCCAACCCACGTCATCAGCCATGTCCCCAGCCACGTTCATGCAGACAGTGTCTAAGCCCTGGCTGGGGTCACCACACCCCAGAGGGAGACAGGGAACAGCTGCGCCATGACCCTTGGCCCCCCTGGGCGCCAAACCCCTGCACAGGGGTGAGTAGGGTGGGGCTGGGGGTCCTTTCCACCACCCAAAGGGCAGTGTGAGCCTGTCCTTTTCCCTGGTCACATCCCTCACCCTCTCCCTGGAGTTCACGGGACTTCCCTAGCTGCTGACATTGTTCTGGGTTCACCAACCCTTTTAGGACCCTCTGCCCTGCCTCCCAAGAAAAGACATTAAGACTCTAAAGTTTTAAGAATCTGAGAATCACTGATCTTAAGACTGTGAAGGTTCTAAACCTAGACCTGGAAAAAAGAGGTAATTAGAAGAACAACCAGACACTTAGAGACAAGTTTCCCCCTCTTCTCTTCTTCAGGTACGGCACTTCACAGTTTACAGCTCACGGAAGCTCATGTGTATTGAGTGCCCGTGGGGGCCTGGGGCAGGCGGGAGGGCTGTTCTAAGTACTGCAAGTAAATGAACTCACCTCTCACCGACCCTCTGAGGTAGGTACCAACATTATCCCCATTCCACAGATGAGGAAACTCAGGCCCAGAGTGGTTAAGTGATTTGCCCAAGGGTCACACAGCTGGGAGATGGCAGAGTTGACATTTCAACCCAAGTCATTTGAAACCTGCATCCATAACCACCATACTAACCCGCTCTACACACAGTAAAGTGCATTCCCATCTGTTAACCTCAGAGCATTCTGCAGTGGGGGAGAGACAGTGCAAGGGCTGTGGCCCTGGTTTTGCAAGTGAGGAACCTGTGCCCAAGAGGTGACTTACCCAGAGTCACACAGCCTGGAGGGGCCTAATTGGGTCTCCTGGCTACTTACTTCCGTGTCCCATTGCCCTGCCCTCCCCTTCCTGTCCCCGGTCCCCAACCCTTATGCACCCAGTCCCTCTTTTTCCCTCTAGACCCTCCAGCTGAGTCCAACTCTCCAAATTCTCCAGGAGAGGCTGCAGGTGGCCACCTCTAGAACTGGACCCTCCAGCCTTCCAGGGCACCCCCAGATGTCCCCGTAGGCCCCAGTGGGGGATGGAATGTCCATGCTGGGCACTGCGGATGCTCTGGCATTGGGACCCTGGCAAGAGCATATTTAAGAGCAGGGCTATTTTACACTTTGCAGCTGTCACTATAAACCCTGGACCCACTCAGGGAGGGAGAGCAGCTGCAGGGGAACCTCCTGGGCCCTGGAGCCAGTGCCAAATCCTCCTGCTATTTCTGAGCAGCCAGAGGAATCCTGAAATTAAAACCTCCTGAGAAAACGGCCAATCCCGGTCCCGCTGCAGACAGGCCCCATACTTCCCTCGCCCCAGATGACGAGCCAGAGATGAAGCACAGCAGAGCTGCAGGCAGCCCAAGACTGCCCACCAGAGACCTGGGTTCCTGCCCAGCTCTGGATGGACCCCAGCTCCTGCCTAGCCCTCAGATGCCCACATATAAAATGGGGGCTGGTTAGATCATCGGTTCTGAGACCCTGTGCACTTTAGAGATTCCCTAAAGGTGCATAACTCAAGCATTCCCACTATTTAAGGTTCTGTGCTGTGTGACCTTGGACAAGCTGCTTGATCTCTCTGAGTCTCTGTTTTTCTCATCTGTAAAATGGTGAGAAAGACAGTTGTAAGGAAGAAATGAAATAACATCAGAGTTCAGAGCAGCTTTATTTGTAACAGCCAAAAACTGGAAACCACCTAAATATCCATCAGGAGATGAACAGATAAACAAACCATGGTACATCCATACAAGGGAATACAACTTAACAACAAAGAGGAGTGAAATACTGACAGATACAATAACATGAATAAATCTCAAAAAATGCTGAATGAAAGAAACCAGGACCACCCTCCCCCCACCAAAAAAATGCAGTATGGTTCCATTTATAAGGAATTCCAGAAGATAAAAATGGATCATACTGATGGCCAGCCTATCAATAGTGGCCTGGTTATTGGCGACAGGGAATAAAGAGGGGCAATAAGACTACAAAGGGTTAAAAAGATACTTCTGGAGGTGAAAGATATGTCTATTATCTTGACTGTGGTGATGGCTTTATGAGTGTTCCCCTATGTCAAAATTATAAAATTGTACACTTTAAGTATGTGCATTTTATTGTGTGTCATTTATACCTTGGTAAGCTGTAAAAAGTAATATTGGTAAAGTGCTAGACCCATGCATAATGCTGAATTTATCAAGGGTGTCTATTCCTGTTATTAATCATTGTTAATATTAATTATTCCTGTTATTAATTTTTCATCTCCTGCATTAGGATATAGCCTCAGCTCTGTTTTGCTAACAGTTTCTCCCCAGTACCTGGCACACACTAGCCACATGTCAAATAGTGGTTGGCAAACAAAGGGTCTGTCACCCTGCTACTTGCTCCTGGGCCATCTCAGTACCCAGAGGGTAAATTAATCCCAACTGGGGAAGACAATGACAGCAAGCCTCTGTGAATGAAAACCAAGCCAGGCAGGATCCACAGTGCTGGGCAGTTGCTGCCAACACCCCAGGGGGCAAGGCAGGATTGAAGCAAGGATGCGGGACACAGGATGAAATGCAATGGACAGAAAATGCCATGGCCCTGCAGCCTACCATCAACAGAGGGGCACAGCCATGGAACCACAGACTTTCTAAAGTGAGGCAAGATTCTCAGTGCTGAAGGGCCTGCGCTGAAGAGCCAGACAGACCTGGGTCCAAATCCCAACTATGCCTGGCTGTGTGACCTCAGGCAAGTCACTGCACCCCTCTGACCCTCAGTTTCCTCATCTGTAAAATGGTGATAATGATATTGCTCATCTCTCTGTGGAGTGTGTTGTGAGGGTTGAATGTGGCTATGGATGTACTGGCATATATGTCTCCCTTCAGCCTTACATGCATGCACACATGTGCACAGACAGAGCACCTCCTGTGTGCCAGGCCCCATGCCAAGGGCTAGGAGACAGTGGTAGCCAGACCCCCACGCCCCTCTCCCTGCAGACTCTGCAGTTTGGCAGTGACAACTACCCAGCTGCACCCTCAGACACTCTGAGTTACTGGTCTGGGTGGGACACAAGAGTCAGGAATTTTAAAGCCCCCAGGTAATCCAAATGTGCAATAGAGACCCCTGCCCGGTGGGGTATGATCATCTCTTTACACATGCAAACAGAGGCCCAGAGAGGAGAGGTGACTTGCCCAATGCTACACTTGCTAAGCCAGGCATCACCCAGCAATCTCACCTCAGGGCCCAAACCACCCTAAGAGGATCACAGAAGAGGAGCCCAGAGCCCAGCAGCCCAGGTGACGTGAGCCCTGCTCCGCCTGCCCTCACCCTGGACATGCCCCCTGCCAGGGGAATGCCCAGCACATTGGGCTGATGAGAGCAGGGCAGGGCAGGCGGCTTCTTCAGCACCCCACACCCCAACCACATCACCAAAAGCCCCCACTCCCACACTGAGCTGGGGTCCATGTCTTGGGATGGTTTTGCTCCCCGTCTCCTCCCACTACACAGTGACAGCAGGCCTGGCCCAAAGACAGACTCCTGGGCTGGGGGCAGCTGTGCGGTTTTACAAGCCCCAGGACAGTGGGGGTCTGTTCAGGTCCTGGCAAACTCCCGGATCCTTGGGAGCAGTGGGGGCCCTTATCCCCAATTAAAACTCAGCTTTTCCCCCCACCCAGCACCAACCCACAGGTGCCCCTACCCACGGTCTTCCCCCACCC